CGACGCTCATATCACCGTACCCATAATCATATACTATCTTGAGATCATCTGCAAAAAGGTATGGCTTACCACACTCGATTACAGAGACTATGTCATTTATAAATAAGAGGAATAGAATAGGGCCAAGAATACTACCTTGTACCACACCACTGGTTATCGGCTTTGAGGAAGACAACTGGTGGTTGATTTTGACTAATTGCTGTCTTTCTGTGAGAAAAGAACTTATCCATTTGTGAAGCTTTCCGGTTATTCCGTAGGATTGGAGTTTTGTTAGGAGTCTGATATGTGGGACTTTATCGAAGGCCTTGCTAACGTCGAGAAACAATGTTGTTACCGAACGCCCATTATCAATGCTTTGTGTAATGTAGTCGAAATAATCTAAGTGGCAAGTAATGCACGACATTCTACTTAAGAAACCGTATTGGAATGGGGATAGTAGGTCATTTGACAGCAATTACTGAATGATTGACTCTTAACTATCTTTTCCGTTACACGTGAACCTTCAGACGTGTTGTTGATGCGGCGGTATTTGTTGATGTCAGCTATAGGTCCGTATTTTTGGATAGGTACAATATAAAACTTCTTCTAGCAAGTAGGTTACGTCCCATCGCTTAATGAAATTGCGTATAACTTGAGGAGGAATAAATTCATGTCATTACCACTTTTTTCAGCAGAACGGAAGATATGCCGTCTGGGCCAGTAGTGTTACTAAGCTTAAGATTTGCGACAGCTTTATCAATCTGTTTTACGTGGGAAATGCACGACCTCATCGTTCTCTAAGGTGTATAATCTGGCTAAGTGCTTGCTAAACAGTTCACATATCACCTCATTATTTTCGTAAGGAATGCCGTCTAAGTATATTAAGGAAAAGTGATTCACGCAGAAACTGAACACCTGTGGCGCAACAGTTCAAAATTTGATAATATAATGGCAATCTAAGGTACATCTCTATACAGTGAGGAGAAAACTGATGGAACCACTGAAGCTGCAGAAAATTTATTTTCATCAAGTTGTTTACTTATCTATACATTTGGGTGAGAATGGGACAGTCCGACACAATCGATAACAAATGCATTTGAGTGAGACATGTCCATCAGGTATACGTGTAGACGCACCTTGTTCCGACAGCGGATATAAGTCATCAGTGACCTCCGGTTCATGTGGCGAGGGATGGGCATAACGCGATGCAGGCTGTTGATTAAAAGGCTCTAGCCTCGGCGTCAGTTAATTCATCAACAACCTCGTTAGGTGATGTCTGTTGGACAGAAGAAATGTCCTTGAAAGCCTGAGTGAGTCAACGCTACGAGGCAAACGTTTTTCGTTGACAGGCTCACCATCTTCGTAATGCCAATCATCAGACAATGATCCGAAACAGAGAGCAAAGCGCACGTTAGCATGGTGATCACACAAGTATCGCATGTCTGTAAGAACGAAGTATGAAGGTAAAGGATTGTATTTACAATCAATCTTATTACAGTTAGGTGGGAGGGGAACGGTTTTCTTAATGGTCACTACATCTCCTTGGACGACTAATCCTGTATCGCTACGTGGCCAACCCGAAGTTAGAGATGCACACAGCTTAAACATGGGAAAACCGTCTAACTTACCACTCCCCATACTACCTTGTCTCCCATAGGAGCACTGCCTGCAGTGCTAGATGGCTATTACTGCAGGGTTTGTCTGAACTAAGGTTTGTTGGCGAAAGGTTTTGGTCTGTTCAAATTTGTGACCAAACTTTCAGCAGGACTCGGTCTCTGGATCCCACAGGCGCAGTCACTAGGTGCCACCATTACTGGAAATGGTCCTTCACAGCGTTTCTGGAATTTAAGAGCCTTCCCTTTAGGTGGTGCCTCCCTTAGTAGCATTACCTTGTCTCCTGGCCCTACAGGTGATCCATGTGCTTTCTTACCATAGTATGTTTTCTGGTACTTCCTATTTGTTTGAAGTATGTCCCTAGTCATTTGGTGTACCTTGTTCAGGTTTCGTCTGGTTCTGATTACGTGTTCTGAGGCTGTGTTCTCTCCTGGTGTGTTTGAAGTCAGATCAACTGGAAACCGCAGCTCTCTTTCAGTGACCATATAATGAGGCATTTGACGCGTAGCTTTGTGAATGCCTGCTCTTTACGCCATTAAGCACTGAGAGAGAGAGATCGGCCCAATTTCCCAGGCTATTTTGGTCTGCAAGTGTCCGCAGAAGTGATTTAAGTGTTCGACTGGTGCGTTCAACCAATCTATTTACTTGTGGATGTGTGCGGTAGTGCGATGATGGTTACAGCATCAATTCGGGGAATCGTGATAGCCATGCACCATATAGTGAAATGGTCTACTGCGAGTAATATGCAGTTATTTTTTCGAGAAGTCACTGGGAGAGGCCCAACTAAGTCTGTTTGCAATAAGTCATCTGGATGGCCAGTAATAATGGGCTCTAGGGGTGCCTTAGTATATTTGTGCGTAGCCTTAATAGTTTAACACATCTCTCAGAAGTCACAGAAATTTACGATATCCTTTCTGTGATGAGGCCACCAATAACACCTTTTAGCCACTTCTGTCATCTTGTTTGAGCCTGTGTAGCATAACTGCTGGTGTAATGACAATAGTACTGTGGGTAGTGCCGACTGTGGAGCCACAATTTGGCGAGTATAAGTGGGCCCATGTTGGTGGCATAGACAGTTTTCAAATTGTCCCACCGAGCTCACAAACACCGAGTTTCCCATCTAACTTACTTATTTCCTGAGCTGTCGGTCGTTCGCTTTCACTTCGAATACGTTTGAAAATCGTAGCCAGTCCAGGTTCAGAAGACTGAGGATCGGGCTATTTATGTGAATAACGTGCCTCTATTTGGAGCAGGGAAACTTGTTCTTCGGAGCGTGATGGGCAGTCACCAGGATACGTAAGAGGTTTTCTTAACAGTGCGTCTGCATTTCTATGATTTTTTTGAGGTCTATGCTTGCATTCGAAGTCATACACCCCCAGGTGTTCTTGGCATCTAGCATTCTGACTCTCAGCTTCTTTATTCTGACTGGTCAGAAACATTGGGATATGCCAGGATAGAGGGACTACATAAACAGTTTTTAAGTCTTTCGAAGGCTTCGGTGGCTGGTGCTGTTTAACTGTAATCCTTCTTCCAAAGAATTCAAATAAAGGGGCTGCAAGTAGAGAAAAGTTAGGTAAAAAACGTCGCATATTTCCGGAAAAATTGCATTTGTCGGGTTCAGTTTTAGCACAACAATTTGCATCCGTTATAGTGCTCTGGAAATACCACTTGAATGTTCAGTAATTGCCTTACTATGTATTATGATATCGTCTAGATATATCCAGCACTTTTCTGGTATGCAATCACTCAGGACCGTTTGCCTGAGGCGTTGAAGTACCTCTGATGAATTTACTAGCCCGAACGGCATTGTTTCAAACTCATGTAGGCCAGATTGCTCGATAAGTGTCGTTTTTTGCCTGCCCTCTCTGTGCACTTCCACTTGCCAATACCCCGATGCTAAATCCAAGGTGGTAAACCAATTCGATACATCTAGAGCATCAAAAATGTCGTCTATACGTGGTAGAGGAAAACAATCTCGTGTAATCAACTGGTTCAACTTGCGATAGGCTACACAAAACCGAAGTGTTCCATTCGATTTCTTCGATGTTTCAAGTATCTATTTCGACGAGAAACATGAAGTGAATCATCCATGGTATCAACATGTCCGGTATGCCTATGGAAAACTACAAGTCGAAGGTTGCTGGTGAACATCCTAAAAAACCGCTTGTAATGTGAATGTTGTCATTCTCATGTTGACGTATTATGAGAAGAGGTCTCTGCAACAAGTATGAATATCAATAAATGAATATCTCAGAGGAGTAAATAGTCATTTCCTTCCAGTAAATTTCCATAGACAGAGATCGAATGCAAGTTTATTAAGACCAGAATATATAACCTCTGCTACAGGCTTATCGTTTTCTACGATGTCCTTGAGTCAGGTCAGGTAGACATGAAAGCCTGTTTGAATACCTTTTTGAATTTGAAGGGTAGTATAAGACTGAGGGAGACGTTATACCAAGTAGTACCCATATTCTTGGGGATTACAGACTAAACCATACTTGAAAAATTTCTCACAAGACATTCCGAAAGACGGGGACAGGGGGAAACGGCATCATAATAGCAAGACTAATCGTGTCCTTGAGTGTTATCCTTGAGTGCAGGGGTTCAGAGCTTAATATTACTTAACCTTTGTAGGTTCAGCTATAGGGCGTCAGAGATAACTCATAATAACGCCGAGAGCTCGTTGGACAAGTGAACCCAATCGAGTAATCCACAAAGGTTTAGCTGTTGTCATGCGGTATGTATTGAAGAAATGGTTTCAAACGACACTACATCACGTGAAGTTATATGCTGCATAGTGAAATCCAAAGGATAACCTTGATTAAATTTGCAATTGCCCTGACTACACAGTATATGACTTTCTGATAGATAAACTAGACGAAACTGCACGAAACTCTGGCTGCCAGTGCTCGACAAGTACGAAGCAATTACCTAGGCTCAAGTCTGAAATGTCGGAAAACAAACAGAGAAAGACCTCAAAGGCTCCTTAAAAACTGGAACCATTTTATGACGGAGTTTCCGCGTGCATATTTAACTAAAGGATGAAAAAGTAACCCATGTAGTGGACTTTGTACGGCCTGATCTAGCCGCCTTTCCAAAGTTAAATATTTTCGATGGAGCTTACTAGAACCTTACCAGATATATTATTTTAGCATAGTAGCAGTGGAACTAAGATAGGTTTCTGTTTGTAAGCAGTCTGGATGGACGTAGTTTCATTAAACTCCTGAAATAAAGAATATAAATGGAAAGCTGGTTCTGAGCTGCAGTCATTCTGCGTAATTCGAAAAGCGAAATGACACAACAGAGTTAAGTCTTCAGGATTACTCATGCACAAACCTTTAAATTTTCACCTCACGATCTTAGCAAAGCAAATATTTAAAGGTAATTGGACTGTTGATATTTATTAGGGAGTGCTGGTCGTCGACCTTGACAGTAGGCGACAATATGAAAGCTGGCCGCGCGCCTAGGTCACGTTTTAATGTATGTTATATATATGTCTCATACTGATCATATCAATAGAACCATGGCAGAAAACGATTATCTGACGAAGAAATAGAATCCGAAAGTGAAGTTGATTCGTACGACAAACCCTTCCGCATAATTTATTGCGTTAACTAAATATTACTTTTAGTGTTGTATCTGGATCAGATTCTGATGAATCAGTGCACGAGACTGCCCATGAGAAGAAAGTGAGACTTACAAAAAAGGCCATACAAAAAGCCCTAGAAACAGGTATTAAGATTTCTTTCTGATCTTTGTAGTTGGTTCGGATGATGAAAAGTACGAAGCCTTATCTTTACGTCTCAAGGAAGAGGCACTACAAACCAAAGGAAAATTGCTAGCAAAACTTGCTCATCAGGTTAGTACTAAATTGGAAAATTAAAAGTATAGATAAACGGCCTGGACAGTTCAGATTTAATCCTATTAAAGGGACATAGAAAGTCCGTTTCATGTGTATGCATTTCTGAAGATGGAAAGTCCGCCTATTCTGGAGGAAGAGATTCTTCAGTAATCAAATGTAAGTAATTCAGACATCTAATCATAGCTTCTAGGGGATCTAAGCACCTTGAAAAAATTATATGTCATGCCCGGAGGAAAGCGTGGCACAAAGTATGCGTACCATACTGGTCCAGTGCTCTCTATCGCTGTTTCTAGTGATAATAGATATTTGGTAAGTTGAAATATTTGGTGCCCTAGGTGACTTTTGACTGGCATGTTCTTGGGCTCAAGTTTTTGTGCTTTTCGGCATATTGGGAGTGCAAGGTTATAAAGCAATTTTGTAGAAATTTGCTAACTCGTAGACATGATCTAAGACTCGCAAACAATAGGTATTTCGGACATCTCTCTTTTATATAGTGGGACTATTATGTGTGCATTTTTGGTCCATATTGCTGAGGAACTTTCAGTTTTATCTTTTCGTTACTTTTGCAAATTTTATCGACGGGACTTGTGGATGCACAATGCAACATCTTGTGCTGTAATCTTTAGTCCTGTGGTTTTAGTCAATCTGAAATACGCCCAAAGAATTTGAATTTCTCTCTACGGTCAGATATATCAAGCTGATTAACATTAGTGGTTATGTCAATTCTATTTGAGTAATTGTTAGTTCACATGAGCTGAGCTGGTTGATTGATTGTGTCTTTGCTTTTACCTCGTTGTGGTCATCGATTCTCACAGTCTACGTGAAAAGTATGTAAAATTTCACAAACTTGTACTTACTATCCATTGAGATCTGCTAATTGGATTCAAAGAGTTGTAACAATGTTATGTCCATGGCATCTTATGATTTCTGTCAACATCTGTCTGGACTTTTTGGAGGCAAAGTAACTAGCATTAAATTTAGCTGTTTGTGACATATAATTTCAAGACTAGGTTGTACCAAGTTGTTTGCGTCACTGAGTTTACATGGATGTCTTTAGTCATCAAGTTATAAAGTCACTAGGATCCACTAAAGCATAATTAATTTTCGGAAAAGTTCTTATTAACAAACATGTCTTGTATGAACCAGCAGCACTTTTCATTTATTGTCTGTCTGTCTGTCTGGATTCAACATAGAACTTGGCACCGAAGTGCAGCAGTTCGAGTTGCCACGTTCCAAACAGCCCACAGAGGTAGACAAGAAGATGAGTGAAGAGAATTAATAGAGTTTGACAAATATAAGAGTGAAACAGAATGGGTAATGGTAAAAAGGAATATGAAAGATTACAGAGACTGAATACATCTGCGCCATTGACAACGATTTTGAGCCATGTCACCTATTGTCTCCAGCCATTGATTCCTAGAGTCCCGAGGGCCCCAACCCGGGAGTCTGCATCTCCCTACCTGACTCAGTTTAACTGTCAAGGATTTCATGGATTGATGCCATGTTTTTGTTTGGCCACCACTGGCTCTTTTCCAACCTGAACCTATATCAGCTAGCAAAGCCCGTCGGGGGAGGCGGTGGTTAGGCATGCGCAGCACGTGACCTAGCCATCTTAGTCTATGTAACTTTATAGCCTCGTCGATTGATTTTCCCTCTTTGCCCAACACTCTACGCCTAACGTCAACATTACTTATCTTGTGAAACCACCTAACGTGAGACAGAGATCGCAGACATCTATGATCGAAAGCAGTCAACCTTTTCATGTCTTCAACTCGTATTGGCCATGTTTCAGAGCCATAGAGAAGGACGGAGCGAACTGATGAGCAGTACACACGTCCCTTGGTTGATAACCGGATGTCACGCCTACGCCAGAGATGGTGTAAGTCAGCGAAAGCAGCTCGAGCTTTTCGGATCCGTGCTGAGATTTCATCGCCAATCAGTCCGTTGGTGCTAATACAACTTCCCAAGTAGGTGAAGTGGTCAACATGTTCTATCACTTCCCTCCCTATCACTAAGTTAGGGGTTGACGTGGTCCAGTCCTGTAGCAGCATCTTACATTTTGCAGGGGCGAATCGCATGCCAAACATACGAAGATTGCTGCTCAAGGTGTTCAGAAGACTCTGCATTTTGTCAGTATCCTCCCCTAACAGGACTATGTCATCTGCATATTCTAAGTCCATAAGACTATTCCCTGGTAACAAGTCGATTCCTAAGTCACTACGTTCAGTTAAGGATACTTCCATTAGCATATCTATGATGAAGTTAAACAGAAATGGGGAAAGTGGACAGCCCTGTCGGACGCCACTGGTTGTTGCCAATTCAGATGACAATACCCCATAAGCCCTTACACGACTACGTAAGTTTGAATAGAGTGCCTTGATTAGTGCAACGTACTTTCTTGGCACTCCCTTAACAGTCAGACATTGCTATAGTACCTTTCGATCCACTGAGTCGAAGGCCGCCTTCAAGTCAAGAAATATGGCAATTGTTGGACGCCGAAAAGTGTCTATGTTCTAGAATCTGTCGAAGAGTGAAGATATGATCTATGCACCCGCTACCTGGTCTGAAGCCTGCTTGATTTTCCCTTGTCTGTTCCTCCCGAGTTCTGCTTAGTCTATGCATGATTACTGAGCCTAGGATTTTAGAGACTATGTTCGTTAGGCTGATCCCCTTATGATTATCACACGAGGACTTGTTTCCCTTCTTGAATATCGGTATAATAAGTGACTTACCCCAGTCTGATGGAACTGTCTCTGATTCCCACACTTTGCCTAGTACCTCAGTTAATCTACAAACTAGTATGTCACCCCCATATTTAAACACCTCCGGAATAATTCCGTCGGGTCCTGCCGCTTTAATTTATTGTAACGCAATCCGTTTGATTTTACGTTTGAGAGGATGCCTAGTAGCATAACGGTATGTATGTTTGATCCGAAACAAAACAATTAACATGTAAAAATTACATGCTAATACAACAACATTTAGAAAAGCCTTTGTGATAATGTTGAATGAGCATTCTAAAGTTTCTCTTACAATTTACGGTTCGTGTGAGGGCTTAGGTACTTCCAGGAGGAGTACCTCTTGAACCTTCTACATAATCCACAAGGTGTCGAACAAAGTGTAAATTCTATATCCATGCCTACTATTGTTTCAGAATCAGGGTTTCCCAGTTCTGTTTTGCGAACTCATTGTGTCCACTCAGTGACGAGCAAGTATTTACGTCTGCTGGTATCGTTTGTCGTAAGGAAGGTTGGGTAAACAACTGCCTACGAAAGAACTAATACGCGGCTCAACGCGTTTTTACCATATTTGTCCTAGGTTCGACCGATGGAGGTTAGTGAAATGTTAATATTTCGATAAAAAAATGAAGACGAAATTTGCAGCATAAAATTGTATCATTCTATTTCACAGATTCTCATTACTTTATCATATTTTATATGATATGATATCATTTTATACTGCAAATTTCATCTTTCTTTCTTTATCGAAATTTATCAAGGGAACCAAATGTAAGAGATGTTTATATGTTCATAAAGACAACTTACGACTTCGCTCGGTCGAAAGACAAATAGCTTTGAGTGGAAGTGAAACATTTTCGTCTCTCAGATTGAAATGGGGATGTTTTCAAATGGAGTTCCTCCACTAATCATGGATTATAGCATTCTTTCCTCCGAGCCTCTTGCCAGCTTGTTTCTCACGGGTTTATTTCTCCCGAGCACCGTTTAGTTTGAGCATCATTATTGAATGTAGAATTTTATGTAATGTGTTGGTCAGTCTAATCCTTGTGTGACTACCACAAGAATATTTGTCTCCCTTCTTATAAATTGGGATAATCAATCGTTTACACTAGTCTCATGGGACCACCTGAGATTCCTGCACAATATTTAATATCTTAGTTAACCCAGACAACAGTTCGTCATGACTACCCTTTACTATGTTTGGAGTCATTCTGTCAGGTCCCACTGATTTACCTCGTTCCACTTAAGGGACATCTCGTGCATTATTTATTTAAACGCATAAAAACTTGATACAGTATGGCACCAAGAAGGATGCGCCACACAATACTAATAAAACAACATAGATCAAAAGAAAAAAAAGAAGAGAAAAGAAATATATATATAAGTAGAGAACGGATAAAGAACTTCATCTCGAAGGAAGACAGTCATGCTTAACAAGTTCAAACAGTATTCGTTAACTATCATCGGGAAGGGAAGAATGAAGGAAATTGCAACATGTTCGACATTGATTACGATTCTTGGCCATATCCGATAACGTTTCGAGCCATCGATTTGAGCTATCTCTCGGACCCCAACCAGGGAGTCGTGACACACCAACCGATGCTAATCTAGCACAAAAATCCTTCATCCCACGACGCCACGTCATGGACTGACCACCTCTCCGCCTTTTCCATCCCGTCCCAGGGCTAGCGAACAGAGACATGTACGGAAGCTTCTGGGATGACATTTGCAGCACATGTTCAGGCCACCGGAGCCAGTGTTTCCAGATGACGACACTCAATGAATGGTGATCTCCACTGTGTTCAGACACATGCCGCCGAACCTCAGAATTACTCGCGATGATGCGATCGAACGCAAGCAATCCTGAGGAGACAGCGATGATCGAACGCGCAGAGTCGCCGCACATCCTCAGCTCGGAGAGGCCAGGTTTCACATGCGTAGAGCAGGGCAGCCCACACCGAAGCATTGTATACCCGACCTTTGACAGCCAGGCTGACATCGCGACGGCGCCATAGGTGGCTCAAGTTGATGTATGCCACCCTAGCCTTCATTATACGGTTGGAAATCTCATCCGTCAGCCCTCCGCCAGCACTCACACAACTATCCAGGTACACAAACTTATCAACAACTTCAAGCGGTTCACCTGCAAGAGTGAGTGCAGGTACAGGCTCCTGCCAATCTTGTAACAGTACTTTGCACTTAGACGATGCAAAGCACATACCATACTTACAGACACTGATCGCCAACTGATTAAGTGCGATTTGGGCAGCCTGCATGCTGTCGCACAGTAAGACGATGTCGTCCGCATACTCGAGGTCGAAAAGTCTATCTCCAGGTAGCAGATCTACACTACCTTCACGCACATCCTTCAGAGCTGACTCCAGAATGTCATCGATAGCAAAGTTAAAGAGAAATGAAGAGATTGGGCAACCCTGTCTAACCTCACTGTTGGTTGGGGATAGTGATGATAGTTGGTTGTATGCCCTCACTCTACCCGAGGTATTTCTGTATCGTGCTTTCAAGATGTTAACGAATCTCTCAGATACACCTCTCTCTAACAGACAGTTCCCGAGCATCTCGTGCCACCTCAGTTGCAGTTGGAGGACCGACGTCAACACCCCAAACAGCTAGATATCGGATGCATGGTAAATTTAGCGTGGCTATGAACCAATTGGATTGTACCTCAAAGTGTTCCCTCCAGCGTACCAGTCTCCTATCATAAGAGGTATCATTCTTCTTGGAAATCGTTTCTATTATCATTATTTTTTCCATAACCCGTCTCTCTAATGACTCGAAATAGTTGTTTGACGTTATACACCACCACCGCCATTTCTCTCTGGCTTTTATCTCCTTCCATTGTTCATTGTCCTTGCAGATGCTTTTGATCAGCTTACGTTTAAGCAGCTTTCGCTCTTCGTCATGTTTAAAGTCCTACGGAATCAGTCTTGCGTCTCTTAGCTGAGACGAAGTAGCAGAAATCCATTAGCCTTTGTTAATCTTCGATTTCAGGTTATCTACAACCCTGATCACTGTTCCTACAACCGGTTGGATATTATTCTAAGCTTCCTCAGGATGTCTTGCTGTGAATCTCGGATACGCGTTTAGTTGTTCTTCTCTAGTTAATTTTCTGGCATAGCGGCTTCGTGGCTGTTTGTATTCCATATCCCTTCTGTCGTAGACACACACGTGCGCAGACTAGAGTGTGGTTGAAGTCTACGCAATTGAGTAAAACTCAAATATTATGCAAAAGTAAAGTTTCAGCTTATATAACTCTTACTGTCTTCTATGAAATAAATTAATAATGGAGTATTGATTAATTGACAAATAACTGGAGACTAATTTGAATTCGTTGGTTTAATATATTTTGAGTATTGGTTTTTTGTAGGGATTTAGTTTCATTAGATGGAGGATTTCAGCATGAGCTGACATCAGTTAGAGAACCATTGGAAAACCTGCAGGCAGTACTGGACACAGCTGTTTCATCCTAGTTTGAAAATTCATCTGATGCTCACTAGTGACTGGCCCTATTCAGACAGTGGCCTGGGGATCTAGTGGGAAGCCATGACCAGTAGTGTGCAGCAGGTTCAAAGTTAGGCAGTAACTCATTGAAGAAGACATCGCGAAGTGGTCACGCTATGTCATGAATTGGGAGAAGTTAGAATTCATGGACCAGTGGCTCAATGGTCAACGAGCTCGCCTTGCACTCAGAAGGTCTTGAGTTCAAGCACCGATGGGTGTATACCACTGAAGAATCCCAAACTGGGCTGATGAAACAGTTGTCCAGTACTCCTTGACAGGTTTTACTGTCAGCTCATGATGAAATCCTCCATCCAATCAAATATATCTTGGATTATTAATTTGTAGTTCGTAGAATGTTTATGTGTTGCCGGGTTTAATTGCTCATCCAAGTACATTGCAGTAAAGAATTATGGCACAAATTTTGGTTTCGTAGCTAACCGAAGACAATATGAGTTTTATCGGCTTGAATAAAAACGTAGTAGTCACATAAGTGTCAGTTTTTTTTATTAAGTTTTCATAAGAATGTACTAATGATAGAAATTTAAATATTTAATAACTTTCAGGCCTCTTCCAGTATGGACCACTCAGTTATAGTATGGGAACCAGATCAAATGAAGGTTTTCATGAGACTTACACGTCACAGTGCACCTGTTACAGTAAGTCCCATTGTCTTCATTCAGCTACAATTGTAGGCTGTTAGTTTCAGACATCATTCGCATATGTTATTCACAGCAGACTGTTCAGGTCGTGTTTGTGTTTGGAATATGCCTTTAAAAGAGGCTCTACAGGATCAAGGGTAAGTCAGTAGTCTTCATTCATTAACCGGTGTCGCTTTCTGATTCTGATTTTATGTGTGTCGCGTTTAGTGTTATTCCATGACCAGTCGGTTTGACACAAATGAATTCGCACTTTTAAGATTTAGTGTTCCCCGTTGTATTATGTTATTTCCAAACACGAAATGTTTACTTTGCAATAAAACCTTTGTGCTTTGATGTGAGCAACTGATTAGTGTCGCTGACTGACAATTGATTATTAAGTGGACCTAGAAGCTGCATAAAGTATAATCCACTTAATGATGACTTCTCACCACTAACTGACTATCGGGGGTTTAAGAAGTTCTCCAATAATTCCACTCAAAACTCGTCTGGAATAGTCCCTTTGTGATGCTGTAATGGCAGAAGATAAGAGACGTGGTAACCAATGTATGATAAGGAAAATGTATGCATTCTTAGCCAGATTAAAGTTTGGCTAGGTTTGAGGAGAATAAATTGTTCTGATTGGTTGACAGTTGGCTCAAAGTGAGACAAATTGTCCAATAAAGTTGTCTCATGTCTACAACGTAAATTATATCCAAGTTTGAGGAATAAATGTTTTTACCTCTTCAGGCATTTATTTAAAATGTTGTTTGCAAGTTTTTGGTCGCTTCTTATCAGTCTGCATCATCCGACAAAATTATATTATCATTATTAGCACTCTCTGTCAACAGTTTTGTCTAATAAGAGCACTAATATTATCACCGAGGCTTATTAATATACGTGTAAAACTTGAGCGCTGTGGTAGTATGTAATTCCATCCTATTTTTTATTGATTAGATATATATTACACAGTCAGTGAAACAGTATTAGTATTTACTGGATGACGAGGTTTCGGACACAATTTGTTATTGTTCATAATCATATCAATCAGTTATAATCACACAACTTCGAAAATTTCTTTTTATGGTTTTCCTTATTTTTCCCTGCTTTTTGTATGTATGAGTAGTAGAATTTTCCAGATGTACGGATGGACAAGTGTTGAATCATTTCTGTTACACGTATTTGTAATTGATTCGATAAGATAAATAAGATTTCTGTTATCAATCTCTCCCTCCACTCTGTTCTTACATTAGATTTTAAGGAACCTTGGAAACCCTAGGTAGAATTCCTAACAATGTACGAATAAAAGTGGTTGGGATTCGAACCACCCACAAACTCAACCAGAAACAAGCTTTGTTGATTAAAGGATCAGTCCTGTAGAGCCTTTAAAACAAAACTATTTAGTATATCTAATGTCCTGCTGGAATAATTGTAAGGTCAAATACACAGGTTAAGGTAGTAGGACGGAGTCATTCAGTAGTGAGACTAGCGGAACAAAAATATCTGGCAAAATCTGGATTTTTTTTCCTTCACGTACCCCAGTGGAACATAGGGCTTCAAGCTAGTGGCTTGAAGTTTCTGTAGCAGTGTTTATTTTTACAGGATGGGGTTGCTAGCCCCATGCCCAACCTTTCCTCTTTACCAGTATTATTTCTGGCTCAACGAAGTGAAGGAGTGCGTCGACCGGGGATGGAACCCCGGACCATGTGCATGGTCGGCGAGCGTCCTAACCGCTCTACCACCGACGCACAAAATCTGGATTAGTTGATTCCAATAGGATAGGAAATCTGGAGAATAGTTCATATGTAGCACTATATCCAATTAAACAGAACCATACAACAGGATGGGATATGCTGACAGTTTTAAAATATAATATAACAGGATGAAGGGAGAGATTGATAGCAGAAGTTTTATTCACCGAATCAACTGCAAACACGTGAAATAGGAATAATTTAACACCGCTCCATTATAGGACATCTGAAAAATTCTACTACCTCTATGACGAATGAGAAGGAATAAAGAGAACTATGAAACGGAATTTTCAAAGTTGTGTATTTATAATTGATATGGTTATGAACTATAATAAATTGTGTTCGAAACCTTATCATCCAGTAAATAGTACCGTTCCCTTGACTGTGTGATATATCTAATACGAAATCACTGGGGCTTGTTTGACTTCGCCAGCACTTAACTGCTATGAATGTGGAAATCAGCTACAATCAATATAAAGAGGTAATTGGGATTTTCAACATCAATGTAAGTCAGTCAGTCCTTCTATATGGGTGAGAATCTTGGTGCATCACGAAAAGTATTTGTAACAGACTGCTGTAGTCTTTCGCCAACAGTTTTGTGTCGAAAACAGACAGACAGACAGACCAACAGTTGCCTTCTCTGATTCCCTGCTGAAGATCAGATGGTCACCAATGGCGGCGGTAAAGATATGTGTTACGCATTCCTAGCTATCACCGTCCTAGACAATGGGTAGTGTTAGTTGACAAAGGATAAACCAAGTTGGAAAAGATTTAGTGATGATCAGACCCAAACATGGGACTAGTCAATGAAATCTACAGCAGTTAGTTTACAACAACAGTTAGTTTAAGCCACGTAGGAAGGTGTAGACTTCCTGACTGGCTAGTTGGGGTCCTCGGGACGGTAAAAACCAATGGTTGGAGACTATTGGTAACATGGCTCAAAATCGTTCTCAATGTCCGGCGCAGATGCATCCACTCCTTGTGACATAGGCATTCCTACCGGCGTCCAACAGTCATTATATTTCTTGACCTAAAGGCAGCATTCGACTCTGTCGATCGGGAAGTTCTCTGGAGATGCTTGGCTGTAAAGGGAATTCGAAGAAAATATATTGCACTGATTAAGGCACTGTACTCGTACTCATACAGCCAGGTGAGGGCTTACGGCGAGCTGTCATCTGAACTGATGACGACCAGTGGTGTCCGTCAAGGATGCCCATTATCTCCTTTTCTATTCAACTTCATCATAGATGTGTTAATGGACTTAACCCTAGGTGACTTCAGTGACTCAGGGATTGACTTGCTACCGGGGAATAATCTCGTTGACTTGGAATATGCAGACGATATAGTCCCAACGGGCTGATCTCTGACGAAATCTCAGCACGAATACAAGGGGCTCGTTTCGCATTTGTTAGTTTACGCCGACTCTGGCGTAGACGAGATGTTCGACTATCGACCAAAGGGCGGGTGTACTGCTCATCAGTCCGCTCCGTCCTCCTTTATGGTTGTGAGACCTGGTCACTGAGAGTGGAAGACATGAAAAGACTAGCTGTCTTTGATCATAGGTGCCTGCGTTCTATTTCCCGTGTGAAGTGGCATAATAAGGTGAGCAACATTGAGGTTAGGCGTCGAGTTCTAGGTAAACAGGGGAAATCAATCGACGAAGTCGTGAAGCTACAAAGACTGAGATGGTTAGGACATGTGTTACGTATGCCAAGCCATCGCCTCCCTCGACGAGCTATGTTAGCGGATATAGGGTCAGACTGGAAAAAAGCTAGCGGCGGTCAAACAAAAACTTGGCATCAGTCAATGAAATCCACAACAGTTGGTCTAAGCCACGTAGGAAGGTGTAGACTTCCAGGCTGGGGTCCTCGGGACGGTAAAAATCTATGGTTGGAAACAATTGGTGACATGGCTCAAAACCGTTCTCAGTGGCGCAGATGTATCCACTCCCTGTGACTTATGATCTTCAATTAAACTGTTTTGTATTTCTTTATTACTCCTTTGTCTCACACCTCTGCTCACTGTTTCTATTATGCTTTTCTTGTAATTTCTTCTCTTGCTTCGCGTGCTACACGGAATGTGGCGACTTGAACTTCCGCACATTTGTGCAAAGTTCTATGTCGAAAACAGACAGACAGACACAGACAGACAGACTCCTTGTGACTTATGATTTCCAATGAAACTATACTGTTCTTCGTTATTACTATTCCTTGGTACAATATGGCACCAAGAAGGATGTGCCACACAATAATAATAAAACAACATAGATCAAAAGAAAAAAAGAAAGAGAAATATATATATATATATGTATATATATATAAGTAGCGAACGGATAAAGAACTTCATCTCGAAGGAAAACAGTCATGCTTAACAAGTTCAAACAGTATTCGTTAACTATCATCGGGAAGAGAAGAATGAAGGAAATGGCAACACGTGTAATAGCACGCGATAAGTTTCATTGATTGTTTGTTGCTTCATTCAATTCATTGTGTGAGGGCTGAGATATTGCCCGGGCGCCCAGATCGAAGCAGGTGGTTTTATTAAGGGACCACCCTCCGAGCCTTTGACTTGGAGCCTAATCCTCAAGGCAGCGGAGCAGCGTCAGGAGCTGCATTCCCATGGTTTCCGGTGACCCATATGGGTTCATACGCCATTTGATCCGATTGGATACTGGAGCCCATGCACCCCATGGTAACTGCTTTTAGTTTAACCGCTATCCAAACAACCTTCCTGACATGGTAGGACCTTCAGGGACAGAGTCCCAGTCAGTTTAGCATGTTTTGTGGCTGATTTTGCATTGTTGTGTCATTACGGTATTCAAATCCGACCACCATGACAAGGTAGCAGTTATCGGCCGGGACGGGGGTGTAGACTTCCTGACTGGTTGGAGTCCTCAGGATGGTAAAAACCAATGGATGCGGAAAGTTGGTGATATAGCTTAAAATCATTGTCAATGGCTGGTGCAGATGGATTCACTCTTTGTGATTTAATATAATAATATAATATTCAATAGAATTCTATTGTTCCTTCATATGACTGCTCTTTTCCATCACACTTGTGTTTATTATCTCACTTTTGAACCTGTGTTTACTCTTCTGTTACTTTGTGTGCTACATGGGGGGTGGGGGCGGGGGGAGTGTCAACTGGAACTGGTGCATACCTGTGAAAAGTTCAGTTAGTCAGTTAGTCATACCATTTATTTTGGTGCCTGATCATGATCATCAGTGGGATTTGTTGATATACGATACAGTTTACTGATCTAAAATCCTTCATTCATTACATAAGTTATTTTGGCGATCTGACTTCAAAAAGGACAGCCACTCCATTGTTATGGCAAATTAAAGATGTCAGAAGTTTTATTTACACAATTATTAGTCGAAAAAGCATAATTTATTCTGTCAATTTATCTGGCAAATAATGTGTCCTCGACAGTATATTATGTTTCCTATAAGTTTTATTTTCATGTACCCGCCATTCTTTCTACTTTTCATTCAGAGCAAGAACAAATATCGAAGTTTTGGGACTATGTGGCCTAGTATCAGAACGATGTGTGTCATGTTCTGGATTCGGTGGACCTGGAGTCTGTGTGTGGAAGGTTCCAGAAGAAGTCTGTGTCCAGTATAGTACGAAAAATACCCTAGAGTTAGTTTTCTATCTTTGTATATTGATGTCCTTTTGTCTACATTCTGCCGTATATGATGTTACAAACTGATCTTTTTTTTAAAAATTTCGTTATAGGAGTTCTATGGAGTGTATTTATGCAGTGAACGATGAGATTTTCATCGGTGGATCTACTACAAAGTAAGTCCACATTCTTACAATCGTCTATAATTGTTAAAAATTTGCTTTTGTACTCACCTAACATTCTTTTTGTCCTTTTCAGTACGCTTTATATCTGGCATTCAAGCAGAGGTAGTCCTGTATTCACTGTGTCACCTGCACATCCTGTGGCTAAATTATGCCCTCCAACACCATCTGAGCCTTTTATCCGACCAGTTGCAAACTGGGTGTCAGCAGTTACTGGTTTATATGGAACTGATTTGATTGCTTCAGGTTCTTCAACTGGACATGTACAGCTATGGCGACTAATTACACCACAGTTGGAACGGTCAAACGAAGGTAAAGGACAGCAACAACAACAGCTTCGTACACAGGTCAGCATTGAACGCCTTCCCGGTAGAAGTATCTCTCTGGTATGTTTTATACGATATTTTTAAGTATATATTTTGCTGGATTTCGATGTACTTTTATTTGTTAGTTGCGTAACCTTAGAGTATACATAGAGTGTATTGTGATTAGGCCTTCTGTCCCTATCAGTTTTGTATGCCTTATGTTGGCATGTAACAGTGGAACTGTTAAATGATATGCAGATATGGGAAAATACGTATACCGTTTGCACGTGTCCTTTGTATTTTGCTTTTGTTTTTGCCTTTTCATATTTTACAAGGATCATTCATTTATTTTTCTTCGCCATTAAATCTATCCCTCTGGTACTCAAAATTCTTGCAGACAATATGCATACTACTTAAAAAATCGTCAGTAGCACACGCCGCATACGGACAATATTTGACAAACCTGCTTTCATGAAAAGTGGCTAAACACTTCGGAGTATCATTTTCCGATAGTCATACTGCACACTAATGCATAAATTTAGGAATGACATATGTATTGTCTCTAATAAACATAAGCTGTGATTTTGTTCCCGTAGCTTTATCTTTCCTATCGATATTGTGTTGAAGTGTATATCACGTCTGTGCAGCGTTGTTGCGCTAGTAAAGATAAGATAAGATAATAGCTTTATTCCAAATCAGTACTTGTAATACAGAATGGAATTCTCAGCATTTTTACTACAATATTGTATCCAGTTAGTACGTTAACAATAAATAAAGTTCTACATAGATTAAAGTTATCTCAGTCAGTTTTGACAACAACATATTAGCATGTCGGTAGCAAAGTCAAAATTTAAACAGTGTTTGAAGGTGTTAGAAAAGTAGATACTACTAGCATATTTACTGGCGTAAGCGATAGGAAAATGGTCGAGATATACAGAGTGTGAAAGAACGAATAAGAATGTTTTAAGTAGAGTTGGTAAGGAAGAGAGAAACAAAACAGTACATAACAAAAATAAATACAGAATGGAAGAAAAAAAAAGTAGAGAGAAAACGTTGTACCTGTAAATGATGCGAGTTGGAAATACGAGATCCTTTTGTTCTACTGACTATTTAATAAGTGCGTCGACTGGATGGGAATTCAATTCGGGTCACTTGTGTGGCTGTTAAACCATGAATGCATTGCTAAATAGGTGATACCTAATAATGTTATTGTGACTATTCCTGTTTGCATTAATCTTGTAAAATTATCTATGTATTCTATTTCATCATAGATGTACTGATGAGACTCATAGATTGACTTGTTACTGTCAGGGAATAACCTTATTAACTTAGAATAGGCAGATTATATAGTCCTCCCACCTGGCTGAAGACGCTGACAGAATGCAGACATGGTCCACTGAACACCTTGGGCCGCAATCTACGAATGTTTGGCGTGCAATTCGCTCCCCTTGTCAAATGTAAGATGACGAGGCTACAGGACTGGACTGGGCTGGACTACATTGACTCCTAGCTTAGAAATAGGGAGTGAAGTGGTTGGTGGAGCGTGTTGACCGCTTCACTTATTTGGGAAGTTGCATCAGCCAGTGCCAAACGGGTTGATCGCTGCCGAAATCTCAGCACGGATTCAGAGGGCTAGTTTCGTATATGCCAGTTTACGCTGTGTCTGGTGTAAACGTAGACGTGATATCCGGCTAACTGTCGATGAAAGGACGTGTGTACTACTCAGCAGTTCGCTCCATCATCCTTTATGGCTTGACTGAGACAAAGTCATTAAAAGTGGAAGACGTGAAAAGCCTGGCTAGCTCTTTTTAATCAATATGTGCCTGCGTTCTATCTCGTGTGTTTGTGTTGAGTGGTATAATAGGGTGAGCAATATTGAGGTTTAGGCGTTTAGTGCTAGGTAGGTAGGTAGGTGTGCAGGGAAATAAGTTGACGAGGTTGTGAAGCTACTTCGACTGAGATGGTTAGGACATGTGTTACTTACTCGAAATGTGTATTCTCGTCACTTTTAATTATCATTCTTGTAAACTCACTTACACTTGCATAGACTATATTCAATCAGATATCAATTGAAACATTGAAACGCACTCCAAAATAATTTTAATGTATATCCTATGCCTTTTCTTTCTTTTTATATTTTCAGGGTGGTTTCATCAATGGCTTGGCTTTTACCTCTGATCGTCGATATCTCATCGTTTGTCTGGGTCAAGAGCATCGTTTAGGCCATTGGGAACCAAGACGACATGTGACAGATGGATTATATTTGATACCATTGGATATATCGAAGTAAGTTTATGAGGTGTTTTCAACGTAAATTTAAAAGTTTTAATTGAATTTTACATTTTCTCGTCGATTGATTGGACCGAAGTGCTCGATCTCAGGTTGCCATGTCGGCTTCTTGTGCAGATGCCTCGACGATGTCTGGGCATTTAATTAGAATTTACTTGGTGGATGGTGACTAGCAGTGGAATCCAGAATGCGCATTTCCTCCTATTTGGGACTCGTCATCTGGATGTATCTGCATTTCCCAGTGAGTGATTAGCCTCGGTGGGAACGTCATCACTCACTGAGAAATGCAGGGACATCAAGCTGGCGGACGAGTCCCAAAATAGAAGGAAATGCGCATCCTGGATTCCACTGCTAGTCACCATCCACCAAGTAAATTTAAAAGTTTTGGTTAGTATGCACAAATATGTTCTATGTTCAGTTAACAGTTATGCTGTGAGATATTAATTGTTTTCTTCTATTCCCTTTTCACCTTTCAGACCATTTTCGCGCGAAATGTAAATTATCTAACAGGTATTGTATATTTGAAACAAAAATATAATATATCATGAAATTGATTCAGAATGTTCTTATTTCAAAACAAGACATATAAGCGAACAATATTGTTTTCAATTAGATCTTCTTCAGGCTTTACTCTAATTTACATAGACTTGTATATATAGAATTTTAACCAATGACGGTGATTTAGTGGATCAAATAATAATAGTAATCATAATAATAATAATCATAATAATAATAGTAATAATAATGTGGTAAATGTTTTGAACGAAGTTAATAGCGATGATTATAATAATAACAAAATATTGTTAATAAGGCTTATATAGGTGATAAGAATAACAAAGTTAGTATATGCATATATGTTTTAAATTCTCTGAAGAAAGGCGTGAGGCTAGCAACCCCACCCTGCAAACAAAAATTGCTACAGAATCTTCAGTATGCTGAACCTCCTTGCACCAAAAGAAAAAGTCTGTGTAGGAACATGGAACGTTCGAACTATGTACGAGACTGGAAAAGCTGCCCAGATCGCCAACGAGATGAAAAGATACGGAATACAAGTGCTGGGAATATGTGAGAGCAGATGGAATGGGAGTGGACTCACCAAATTGTCAACAGGTGAGTCAGTGATCTACTCCGGTCACCCAGAAGATAACCACACGCACACCGAGGGCGTGGCTATCATGATGTCACCAACGGCAACGAAAGCCCTGATACAATGGGAGGCGATTTCGTCCAGGATAATGACCGCCAGGTTCAACTCCAAAGGAAGGAAAGTGTCAATCATACAATGTTATGCACCCACAAACAACGCAGACCTCGAGAAGAAAGAAGAATTCTACAGGCAACTACAGGCAACAATGGACAATACTCCAGCTGGCGACATGAAAATACTAATGGGAGACATGAACGCCAAACTGGGACCAGACAATACGGGAAGGGAACTCATCATGGGTAGAGAAGCTCTAGGAGAAATGAATGAAAACGGAGAACTCTTCGCCGACTTCTGCGCCTTCAACGAACTGGTGATTGGTGGCAGTGTATACAAGCACAAAGATATCCACAAGGCTACATGGGTGTCACCAGACGGGCAAACCAAAAACCAAATCGACTTCATCTCAATCTCAAGGAAGTGGAGGCGCAGCCTACTGGACACAAAAGCAAGAAGAGGAGCAGACGTTGGCTCAGACCACTATCTCGTACAAGGGACAATCCAAATCAAATTAAAAGCTTTCAGGGAATCAGGAGCTGCAGATAGACCACAAGCCAAGTTCAACACTCAAAAGCTGAAGGACCAGGCTACAAAGGACATCTTCATTGCAAGCATAAAGGACAAAGCCGAGACACAAATCAACACTAGCGAAGAGGTCGGCGTTGAAAAGCACTGGAACAACTTGAAAACGGTGTGGAGCCAAACCTGCATAGAAATTCTAGGCAGAAAAAAGAGACAGGACAAACAGTGGCTCACTACGGACACTTGGAAACTAATAGAAGAGAGAAGGACAGTGAAGCAAAAGATTATCCAGTGCACGGACGAGCAACAAAAACAGGAGCTGAATGCAAGCTACAATACACTGAACAAAAGAGTGAAGAAAAGTGCCAGGGAAGACAAAAGAAAATATTATGAAACCATGGCAAACGAAGCAGAACAAGCTGCAGGCAAAGGAGACCTCGCCACACTCTACCAAACAACTAGGAACCTTTCGGGCAAACGTTCGACACAGATTAAGCCAATAAAGGACGACAATGGAAAGTCAATCACCAAAGAGGTGGAACAGAGAAAGCACTGGGTTGAACACTTCAAAAGACTTCTAAATCGTCCGCCACCTACAACACGTCCAGCAATACCAACAACGGAAGCAGAACTACCAGTGAACACTGACCCCCCGACGAAATCAGAAGTCCTGAATGCAATCAAGATGCTTAAAACTGGGAAAACACCGGGACCAGATGGAATCCCAGCAGAGGCTTTGAAAATAGACCCAGAGACAACAGCGGACTTGATGACACCACTACTGGAGAAGGTGTGGAAAGAGGGCAAAGTACCCGAGGATTGGAAGAACAGTTACTTATTCAAACTTCCAAAGAAAGGAGACTTAAGTCAATGTAAAAACTGGCGTGGAATTATGCTTCTGTCCATTCCAAGCAAGATACTAAGTCGCATCATCCTGGAGAGAATCAAACAAGCCCTAGATGAAAAACTTCGTCCGGAACAGGCTGGATTCAGGAGAAACAAATCATGTATTGATCAAATCGCCACTCTACGGATCATCATTGAACAAAGCTTGGAATGGCAGTCACCTCTCTATCTCAACTTCATCGACTTTGAAAAGGCCTTCGACAGCGTCGATCGAGAGGTCATTTGGAAACTACTTCGCTACTACGGGGTCCCATCGACAATTATACACCTCATCCAACAGTTATACGACAATGCTGCATGCCAAGTAATCCACAACGGGAAACTTACGGAAGCCTTCGAAGTGAGGACGGGAGTGAGGCAAGGCTGTCTACTATCACCAATGATCTTCCTGATTGCAATTGATTGGATAATGCGACAGACAACGGCAACCAACGAGGGAACAGGCATAAAATGGACTGACACAAAAGACTTGGAGGATCTGGATTTCGCCGATGATATATGTCTGATTTCCCATAAACTGGAAGATATGCAAATGAAAAGTAACAAGTTGGCAGAAGAAGCATCAAAGATAGGACTTCACGTGAACATAGATAAAACAGAGATGATGAAGATTCCTTGCCAACATCAACAGCAACAACAGACCACAATAAGCATAAATGGGAAGAACCTGAAAGAAACAACCTCCTTCACCTACCTGGGAAGCATCGTCTCAACTACAGGCGGAACTGACGAGGACATCAAAGCCAGAATCGGAAAAGCAAGACAAGCTTTCATTACTCTCAAATCTGTGTGGAGGTCAACAGCAATCAGCATCAAAAATAAGATCCGGATTTTCAACTCCAATGTGAAGTCAGTGCTACTATACGGATCAGAGACTTGGCGAGTCATAAAGAGCATCTCAAACAAACTTCAAACCTTCATTAACAACTGTCTCCGCTCAATACTCAAGATCAGATGGCCAGAAAAGATCAGCAACAGGGATCTCTGGGAGCGAACCAATCAGGAACCGATTGTGAAACAAATAGGCAGAAAGAAATGGAGATGGATTGGCCATACGCTGAGGAAACCATCAAGTGACATCACTAGACAAGCCCTCGAGTGGAACCCGAAAGGGAGGCGGCGAGTTGGTCGTCCAAGGGTGACTTGGAGGAGGTCATGTGAAGAGGAGATGAAAGCATGTGGGCAGACCTGGAGCAGGGTGAAAAAGTTGTCAGAAAACCGAAGTCAATGGAGGTGCGCAGCTGAAGCCCTATGTTCCTCTAGGAACTAAAGGATACAATAATAATAATAATAAATATATGTAGACAATTCAATAAATAAATAAATTAGGTCAAATGAAATGGAACGATAATCAGAGTTTAAATAAATATCATAAAAGTACGAAGGAGAGGAATGATAAGAAAGGGTGGGAGGGTTTTGAATAGAATTCACCTAGGCTAAGCAAGGGAGAGACAAAGGTAGAACAAATTTCTTTTGTATACAAAGACTAGGATTGTTCTCTCGAATTCCCATAGCTTCGGCTAAGTGTAAAATACGGGTTCTGATTCCGTTCGAAAGACTTAAAGGAATGCGGTAAATAACTTTGAAAGCACTATTTTTGTCCATTTGGTGACCACTATCAATCAAATGAGCCAAAATAGAACTTCGTATGGACTTTATTTGACCTTTTCCGAACCATGAAGGAAGATGCTCATTAATGCGTTTGCTAAGCTGTCTAGTTGTTCGGCCTATATAGCTTTCTCCACAGGAGCAACTAAATTTATAGATACACATGGAAGTGGCACAACTAGGTAACTTATCTTTCACTTGAGCAATCAAAATTGGCCGGCTGGAAAATGACAAACAGAGGGTGGCGGCAGTATAAGTCCGTTTTATCGCTCTCGATAATCTCTGATGTAAGACTTCACTAGCCACGTCCCCATTAAATTGCAGTTTGATGAACAGTTGTTTCTTTTTAACTGTTGTCGGTTTCTCTTTATTGTAAAGCCTGAAGAAGATCTAATTGAAAACAATATTGTTCGCTTATATGTCTTGTTCTTATTTCGTTTATCTGTAGGCGCGTACTGACTAACTGTCTGACTGACTGATTGCTTGTTTTCAACAGAGGACTTTGCCCAGAAGTGTGCAACAATTCCAGTTTCCACATTCCATTTAGCACAAAAATGAAAAGAGAGAGAGATTCGGAAGAACAATAATTAGCAGAAATGTGAGGGAGAAAGACTAGTAACACGAAATATCCACTATCAAAACCCTTCAGACCTTTCGCACATTAAATCGGTCCTTTATTTCCTCACATTTATGCCACTGCATCTTATTTATTATCTCAGTTGGTTACCAGTCCCTTTCTGTTTATCCATGTCTTTGTATGTTTTCTCAGCATTTAAGTGGGATGTCCTACATCTGTCGGTTAATAGCTTCATAACCTTCAGTTGTATCGAAGTTCGTTCGACGTCTACTGTTTTGGTGAACTTGTTAAGATGCTTTCCTGCTTACTTCCATTATTCATAAACCATTCCCGCCTTAGTGTAGCAGACATTTCGATTTGATAACAACTGTCCCTAAGTACACATCGTTTTTCTGAAGCTGGAATAATTCTTAATTTATCTGGTCTTGCGTTGTGTAAGTAAAATTTAGTTAGAGATAACAGTTTTATACGATAATAGGGTAATAGGAGAAGATAAGAGACGGGAATTTATTAAAGAAAAAAAAGCATCGTATGCATTCTTAGCCGCGTTAAAGTTTAGCTAGGTCTGAGGAGAATAGATTGTTCTGATTGGTTGGCAATTAGCCCAAGGTTAAACAAGTTGTCCAATGAGGTTATCCCGTATCCACAATGTAAACTGAATCCAGATTTGAAGAATAATTACTTCTACCTCTGCAGCCAGCCATTGATATAAAATGTTGGTTTCAGCTCTAGTCGCT